GTCTCTGTAAATGTCTGTCTTTGGTGACCATTTAAGATCTCACTTTTAGTATAACTTGTTGGATATGGAGCTGCTGACTTGCTCTGTGCTTTATTTTCTGCCTCTTAACCTCTTCTGTCAGAGGACACACAATACCCCTGACCCCTCTAGCAATTAAACCCAGGTCTTGGGGTTCCTGGACCAACCTCATGGACTTCTTTGTATGTCAGAGTTGAAAACCAGCTAGCAGTTCCTATACAGTAGGAACTGCCTTATCATCTCTGTTGGTAATGGTTTAAAAAGCTTTTCTGATAACTTTCGAAGAGGAGTTTTGACTTCATGAAAGAGAAATAAGTATGCTCCCTTCCTAGTTGTGGTTACGCCACTGCTTTTCAGACTTGGTTTGTGGTGAATAACAGCCTCACTAAGTACTAGCTGACTTTGGTTCAGATCATATCTTCCAGTCTGTACTAAGCATATCAGTTTGCAGAGCTCTAGGCAGCTGGAGATAAGAGTATTTCCTCCCTGCATGTGTGAGGTGAGTCTTGAAGCACCTCAGCTATGTGAATCACCCGCAGATTCTTTGGGGTTCTTCCCTCCTCCTAGTAGGCCTTTCCAGGAGCACTACTCCTTTTTCCTGGGACACCTTCTCACCCTTTTTCCCTTGCTGCCAACTTTTTCTCCTCCTTCAGATCACAGCATTAATAAGTATTTTCTATAAAATTCTTTTCCTTGACTACCTACCTGTGACTAGGTTGGGTTCCTGCTGTAAATCCGCATACTCTCCTGACCAGCTCTGGAACCTGGTACACAGCACATAATGAAGGGTGAACCTCCCTTCTCCTTGGTTAGGTCACACTGTACTGAAAGGAAGGAACCACTGTTTGCTGTTGTATTCCTAGCATCTGGCACATTTCCTGGCAAAAAGTAATCAACATGTGATAAATTCAGTAGGGATTAATACTGTAGAGCACTCGCTGTATGCCATGCTCTGTACTTGGAGTCTTCTGCGCATTTTTTCATTAAATTCTCAAAACAGTTATACAAGTTCAATCCTACAGTTGGTTATAAAGAGTTAAGTGAGACTGATAAAGCAGTTTGCCTAAGAGGATAGCTAAAAGAAGCGTAGCTACTGGACTCAAGAGCTTGCCGCTCTTCTTGGCTAGAATGCACACAATGATGAACAAATAAAGGGATGCTATGAAAGCATCCAGAGCACCTTCCATGTGGGGGCAGCCTACTGAATGACTCATTGACTGGTGTTGACCAATGGCATTTCATGAGTTTCTTTTCTCCCCATATTCATACAGGCAAAGTCATTATAGGAACCACATTCTAATAAATAGCAGTTAGTTTGGCATTTACTGTGGCTTGTAGCACTTTGGAGATCATGAAGGACAGAAGATAGAGCTCTGGTTGTAGGGTAAAGACTTGGGATTGCCTCTCTTCCTCTACCAGGCACATTGGTGTAAGTGGATGGAAAGATGTTCTTTGCTCCACCACGTCACTGCACAACTGAGGTGCTGACCTGGTGTGAGAACCAGGTGGAGTGTGTGCAAAGCAGGCATTTCAGCTTCATGACTACCACCTACTGTTAGGGTATTTTCTCTGCCATATTATTTTCCATCCTAGAGCAATCATTGGTGTGTATTGAAGAGCTTTCTGAAAAGTTCTAACAATTAAGATTTCAAAAATGTGTCTTCCAATCAGATGTTGACAGCAAAGCCTTCCTGTATGGTGTTATAACATGCCACCTGCTATAATAAACTGGATTAAATGGTCAACTTATTTCATTCAGAAGAAAAGTATTTTCTTATTGCTTCTCCACCAATAGAATTGTTGTATGATTTCATTTTTCTATATTATCTCTTTAGCAGTTATAGCTAACTTAGAGGAAAATTTTCAGTCAAATTCTAATCACTTTGAACATACATGTGTTGAATGTGTATAGGAGCTGGAACTGATAGGTGATAAAATGTGGCCAATAAGAAGTCTTTCTAAATGGGTTTCCTGCCTTCATTTAGTGACTGAGCTCTTCCATAGATTTATTTTCACTTGGCCCTTAGGGCTTGAATGGTTTTACAGGTTTTATCTTGGGGAATCCTTATTAAATCTCTTCTTTCCTTTCAGGATAGGACATGGAGACACTTTTGAGCTGATTCTGTGCTAGTGCCCGGCCTGTTGTCAGTCAGTTAATTTATTTATCAGTGTCCCTGACTTGCTGTAAGCTTATGAGCACCAGGAATTATTATAATGGAGTTGGCCTAGCACTTGAGGCACCTAGCTATGTTTTTGATAAGTACTGGTAGGATGTTAAAAAACAATAGCTGAACAATAATTTCAAACATGTAGGTATAACTTTAAAAACAATAGAAGTCCTATATTCATTATATTATGGTGATAAAATGCATAGTCTTTACAGGTAGTCTGGGTTTAAAACCCAGCTCTGCTGCTGCTTTCTGTGTGAGAAATAAAGAAACCATAAGGGAGTTAGACAGCTCTGTTTAGCTCATATATCCTGTGCTTGCTGTGGGCTTTTATTTTTTAGAGGCAGGTGAACACAGAAAATAAGAGAATTTCAGATTGTCATAGGGATTAGAGGGAAGAAAATGTAGTGAGACAGGAAGAATAATTCTGGTTGGGTTAGTGGAGAGTAAATGCAGAGCCCTGAAGGGAGATCCTGCTGAGCATATTGGAGGGGAGCTGATGTGACTGGAGCAAAGAGAGTGGAGGACCATAGTAATAGTTTCTTCCAAATGGATTTAGAATAAACTTAATCATGGTGAAGAATGAAATGCACGGCCAACAGAAGATGGAAGAGACAAGGGCCAGGTGCTATGAGGTCAGTGTAAGACGCTCACCTGTCTTTATGTCCAGCCTAGTACTTTGACTTAGTGAGGACAGTGTGATCACACTTCTGGTTTTCAATTTTATTATTTATTTTCTACATCATTCTTCATTTTGTGCATTTTTTATCTTGGTTGTAGTCCCCCTGGACTTCTCGCCACCACTTCACCCGTATGCCATCATCATAGTCCTGTGCATTTGTCCCACCCCAGTTTTGATCCCATTCCCCTATCCACCTCCATAAAATATATCTGGTTTATAGTTGTTCATTGTTTTCAGTTATACTTTATTACAATTTTACAATTGCTTTTTATTTTCCTGATCCCTTATGCTCCTGTTTTTAGTAAAGCCATCTGCTATTTTTCGTTTTCTTTCTGGCTCATTTCACTAAACATGATCCCTCCCAGCTCTATCCATGTTGCTGCAAAAGGCATGACCTTATCTTTTTTGATTGCTGAGTAATATTCCATTGTGTATATGTACCACATCTTTTTAATAGAATCACGGGTTAAAGAACTATTTCTTGGGTCCTACCTGGTGGTGCAGTGGGTTAAAGCACAGCACTGAGAAGTTAAAGCCACTTCAGCATGAGTTTGATCCCCACCTGCCCGGGAGGTGATCAACATGGTGAGGCAGACCTCTCCTGACCCTCCTGCTGCTGCCCTCAGCAGTGTACTTAGGCAATCTGTCTGTTCTGTCCCCATTCTGTCTCTGGTGAATCCTCTCACTGCCCCTGCACCTCTGGCTTGTACCCCAGTTCTGTATGCACAAATAAATCTTAAAAAAAAAAAAAGAACTATTTCTCTTACGAGAAAAAGCAATGAAAGTACCATAATAAATGGCAAGTAAGCAATACTAGAATGATGATAGTGGCAGCTAGTTCTAGACCTGAGTGAGACTAGTGGGGACTGGGGGACAGCCCAGAAACTCTGGCCCTGAAGAAAGAGGGCATCTGTTCATCAGTGCCAGCCCAGTATTACCATGTGAGGATATGGGCTTCAGGTGCCAAATTCGTGAAGCTTTCCAGAGAATCAGACACCTGAGTTTCTATTCACAGATTTGAAAATGTTGGCTCATGTTTAAGAAAATCCTATAGTGGATAACAAAAGCCTCTGTGGATCGCCCATCTGAAACATCTGCTGCAAATCCTTTTCTCCTGTGCTAATTGGGTTTAAATGAAATATACATATTAACACCTTAACCATGTAGCCTTGTGCGCAATACTGAAGGAAAAAGGTACTTTTTTGAAATACTATTAATTGAACTCTTAATATGTCTTGGTGTCTTCTCTGTTAACCTGTTTTGTTAACTCTACATATCAAACAAGTAATTACCTTACTCTTAAGTGATTAAAGAATGGCAGTTGCTGTTATTTGCCTATTAATTTAACTGTTCTGTTTATTTAGTAAATTCTGTATCCAAAAATATTCTTGTTTATGTGATAAAAGTAGAGAGCAGAGGATTAGCATTTTCTGGTTAATCCTTTGCTTATTTACTGCCTCCAGCTTTGCTTTCCAGTGGTTGTTGCCCTCACTCTTCTTGCAGCTCAGCACATTTGGGTCTCAAGTTCTGGCCTGTATTAGTTGCATGTAAGTGGGAAAGAACTGTGGTAAAAATATGCTATTTTGAACCAAGCAAATGATGATGGGAATGCAGCCTTACGACATGATGTCGTGTTTAGAAGCTTTTCATCAGTTTTAATGAAATACAAATGTGTGCAAAGCATTTTTTTCCCCCAGAAAAAAAAATCCTCATTTAGCATGGCCTGACCCACGTAGTTTTGTATTACAAGGATCATGTTTGGTGTGTTGCAATCCGTTGGTGATTGTCTTGGGGAATTTTATTCAGCGCAAGAATCTCTGATGGTTCTGGCCTTAAGTTGGGTTAATTACTTGTTCATGTAGTTTTTGGTCTCGTCTCTATGTTCAAATTCTGATGCATCACAGAGAAGTACACTGGGAATAACAAAATATACTTGAATATTTCTCATAGAGGCTTATAAAAATGAATATTGTGTTCCCCATTTTTTTGCATTGTTATAAAGTGAGATCATTTTGTTATAGCAACATAAGGCTAAAGATTTCAAAATAATCCTTTTGAGAAAAGTCTTATCTGTAGATACAAGTTCCTAATTAAATCATTGTTTTTTTGCTCTTTTGTTGTTGTTGTTACAGATCATGGAAGAAACAAATACACAGATTGCTTGGCCATCAAAACTGAAGATTGGAGCCAAGTCCAAGAAAGGTAAATTGTGAGAGAAAGAGAAGTAAGTGGTTTTGGTAATGGAGATTGATAATACTGTGAGCTTACCAGCAAGGACATTAACTGCTACACTGCTCACATTACTCTCAGAATATTTTTCTTTTTTTAACTTATTATTTTTTTCTTATATTTTTTTACATCATTCTTTGTGTGCATTTTTTTTCTTTGTGTGCATTTTTTCATCAGTTATAGTTAGCATTATTTTGTGAGGATTGGCATAATTAAAAATCACTGTATCATCACACTTCTAGCAACAGAAAAAAATTTTCAGTAGTTTATTATCATAGAAATGTCATTTTAGAAGATGCCTCATCACCTTACAACTTCAGGGATGCCTGTTGATTTTCTGATCATGAGTTATATACCTTTCTATTTGTTAACATGTTTTGAATGTAAAAATTCTTGGTGTTTCCATGGTAGGTTTCTTACATGTGTGGCACACAGATTTGATTGCTGACACCCTCTCCCCACCATGTGATATGAACCTTTGACATCCTTTCTTGATTTCTGCTTCTCTCCATCTGTCAGATGTTGTAAACCCACTAGATTTCTCTTTTCAGGCTGAGCATTTTGCCTTACTGGCTTTCACTCTGCTTGTCCTAGAGGAGACTACCTAGTACATAGGGGAGCAGATATTTTCCAAGATTGTAAAATATTTCAGATGACCTGACAATAATTTTAAAAATGCATAATTATGTTTATTGAGGTGACATAATTTTACAATAGCTCTATAAAATGTATGTTGTCACACCACACCGAAGACTCAATGACCCTCCACTAGAGTCCATTGGGCTCTCTTCCCCTTTGCTCTTACCTTATATCCTCCTCTTCTAGTAGCTCAATTCTGAAGTCAGATTTCAAAGGTTTGTTTTGGCTTGTTGTTGTCTGTTCATTTGCTTTGTTTCTTTGTATTCCATATATAGTGAAACATCCAGTGTCTGTCTTTCTCCTTCTAACCTATTTCACTTAATACAGTCCCTTCCAATTCCATTCACGTTGCACATACAAAATGTTACCGTTTTTTTTTCATAATTGAGTAGTATTCCATTGTGTATATTATGTCTTCTTAATCCACTCATCTCTTTTTGGGCACGTAGAGTTTTTCTATAATTTGG